GGAGCAACGGAAGAAGTTCCCTCCGCATGAGAACCACTAGTATGCAATTTTTTCATAATCCATTGTATGAGCTGGGCTAGGTTGTGCATTTTGAACACATTATCATGGTCCCTTGGTCCAGAGGTTAGATTTGTGATGTCATTTTTGGAGGCAGAAACTCAAGTGTAATATTTGTGAGATTGTTTACATGGGTGTGACTAGGACAGTTGTCCACAGTTAGGAGAATGAAGCGTTTCCCCTTCATCATTTCCTTGTCGATGCTTCTGATCCACTCCTCAAATTTGGCAGCAGTCATCCACGCAGATCAGTTTGATTTCGAATTAACTGGAAGGTTTTCAAAATTTCGGTTTTTCAACGCAAGTAGTCTAGTTGATTTACCAATGAATAAAGGTTTTAGCTTCTTCCCACTTGAGATAGCGCACAACAGAACTGTGAAACCTTTATTGAAATTTGTTCACACTTACATTAGTCACCCTTTTGACATCCGTTGGGCATAACCTTGTAAAAGAGACACCACACGTCAGCGTTAAAAATATTGTCATTGTTGAAGCCCTTGCTAAATTTACAAAATGTTTCGATGAAGCATTGAACAAACTCTTCAGGTAGTTCATTGGATTCACCACACAAAACTCTTTGGGAAATTTCATGTTGAAGTTCAAATTTCTCCAACCAACAATCGGATGCCTGGAAACCTGCAACCCCAAATTTTTGTGAGTACCATTTAGCAATTTCTAGAATCATTGGCCCAGAAATCCGAGCGTTGGATGCACTCCTTTGCCTGAACCAGCGCATCACTGACTTCATCGTGTGAAGTTTTCCGCCTCTACCGCGGTTGATCTGCTCTTTCATTATCGTACCTCCCTAAGTACTCGTTTACATGTTTTTGGATATTGCTAACTGTTGTCTTGTTAACGCCAAAATGCTCTTCCGTCCTTTTTTGGCTACTGCTTTCTGGAAAATATAGCGAACTAATCCTTTCCTTCAAGGTCAACATTCCGAGGCCCTTTCCTTAGGTCATAATGTTGAATTACTCGTAATGACCGATCCTAATTTGTTCAAGGCACGGAGTAGATCTAAGGTCTACAGTTCTATTTACGTAACATTAATTACATACTATAACTAACCTGAATTGGTTTCACCCTCAGATCGACAGAAAATAGAGCCGGAGAGACGACGGACAATTAATGTAGGCGTAAACGTCAATCTCACCACAATCTAAGGTGCTAATAAACTGGAGCTTAGACCTGGTGGTTAATCGAGGGTTTGATAGTCAATCAAACTCTTGATCGCGGACTGTGCGATGAGTGGACACATATTCTTAGGGGTAGACGAAGGTTTGCCTGTGTATGTGGACAGGTGAGGGAGGTTGAACACAAATCGTTCTAGATTATTCCGTGGGCGCGTACCTGTGGAGACCAAATTTGGTATCATGCATTATACACGTTAGCTACAGGTGGAAAACACCAGCTATTGTGCCGCAATACAAAAGACAAGAAAATACAGAGGCACGCCGACTGAGTCCCTAGTTACAGATGGGCATCGTTCCGGCGAGCTAACAGCCAGCAATCGTGCCGCAGAAAGAGAGTTACATTATGCCTAACGAATGAGACCGTGATTGGAGGGTGAGGCTAAGCAGGAGGGGATGAACAAAGAACTCACAACACAAACGCCATTGGGGCTGGCTTCTAGCCATATCAGCAAGGGTATTCAACCAAACGTATTCATCGTCCTTAGCACCCCAGCCAGGCAGTCGGGATGCACAAAACGACGCCAACTTCGAAGTGAGCGTTTTCATTTCTTTAGACCAAGTCCTCGATTGGCATCACCTCCTTCTCCTCTTCCAAAAGCACCCACGACGCGCAAACAATGCACATCGCGGAAGTCGGTGTGCTGGCATGCGCAACACGTGGCCCAGCCATCGGAGCCTGATGTGTGATGTAATGGTGCTGAGTGGTTCACTAGCTCCTCCTGCAGCAAATACGCGACGCCGAATACACCCACTGCTCACGCGGTGCTCCCACCAGACATGAGCTAAGCTGTAGAGGCAGTGAGGATCGGACATGGTTAGCCTCTTTGTGTCTGTCGATCTGATGGGCCAGGTTTCACAACCGTATAAGAGGGTTGAACGGACGGTTGCATTGTAAACTCTGCCCTTCAGGGCGAGAGTGATGTCGCGTCAGCGCCACAGGTGGCGGACATTGGAAAAAGCACCTCGAGCTTTTGCTATACGGTTCGTAATCTCAGCTTCGATATCATAGGAGCTAATAAAGATACACAGGTACTTGAATTCCTGGAATTCTAGTAGATCACCACAAAGCGTCAGCGCAGGGGTTGTTGGTCCTTGCCAATCTTGGAGATCTTTGCATTTCGATAAAGAAAGCATGGCCAAAAAGGATTGACAGTCAGCGCTAATCGTTCAAGCGCATCAAGCGAAAAGGAAGAAGTGACCGCAGTCGAATGCCGTCAATAATTGCTGGTAAATAAGGATGTAAATAAATTGGTATACTCGAAGATACGAGACACGCCTGTAACGGCATAATCGGAGAAGTGCATATATATATATATATATATATATCGGCGGTGTTCGTAGGTACGCTACATTCGATTTACTCTGCGTGCTTACGCGCTGAGTTTCTTTATTTCAGGTGGCGGATTTGTTATCGTGGCTAAATTCAAATTTTTTTTACCTCAACATTTACCTGAACTTGCATACATTGCTTAAACTAATTGTGGTTAAGTTCGCTATATTCGCGTTAGCGCTTTTTTAAAAAAAAGCTTTTTCCGACATTGTGCATTTATCGCGGATTTGTAGGTAAGAAAGTTATCACATATGCTCATTTGGCGTAGATTTATGTCATCATTTGCGTATGCTTTATATATATATATACTATATTTATATAGTGTATATATACTATATATATATATATATATATACTAGATGTTAGTCTCATTTCAGGTGATTGACTATTATTTGACATAAACAGTGTGGCTGCGCTAGATGTGCATGTTGACAAGGTGCCTACCTGTCTATTACCCACTACCTCGTCCATACTGGCTCCAGGAGACAGTTGGTCGTTGCTGCAGGGGACGGGGTGCACGGTCCTTGTGGCCGTGTTAGGCTCGAAGAGTGGTTCCATGCACTCAGTATGGAGCGGACTAAGGTCCAGCCACCGCCTTGTGTGCGCTTGATTCCCAAATATAGCGTGCTCGTGTTTGCCTGTGAAGGAGTGTGGGCCGGCTCCGTTGATGAAACGTGGCTCCCATCCACATGCCTCCTAGTCGTATTCCTTCGGGTTTACACTGGAGATGGGGTGTGTGGAAGGAAATGTGGGTGGTGCAGCGCAAGCCACCCATGGTTCCTCTGTGGTTGTCCTATGGGGACCGCAGTGACAGGCAAATTCGGAACCAGATGTCGCCAAACATATACATGGGTGGGTAACACCCAATTGCCGCCTAGAAGGCATTTTATGAATGATTTTTGTGCAGGTTACCGTGCAATGCCATCGCGACTGATATGGACAGCTGTTGCTAACAAAGGTAGACGGTATCAGTATGGGTTTTACTCGATGGTTTCGTACGAGAATACCCTACAGAAGTTGGCGCGTTTGACGAGTCATCTGACAAATCTGAACCATGATGCCTCTGGATAGATGAAGGAGCTGCTTTAGCTTGATCACTGACGTTCGGCACATACGCTAAGACAGTCGAGTGTTTCCATGCAGGTATGTTTGTAAACGGAACAGCGATGACGTGACTCTTTACTCGGTGTATTGAATGACTTTATTCCCCTCCGCTCAAGGGGGACCATGTTGCAAATGATAATAGAAATAAGCTCAGATTCGCACCAACGAGCATCACTACACAACCACCCAGTTGCGACTCATGAGCACCACGTGAAAATTTGCTCTTCGTAACAGTCAGAGGAGCTCATCGGGTATTTCGGCCTCTCGCATTGTTTATCAGTTCACCAACAGTTGTGGTGATATTTATGTAGACAGAAGTGACCATCAGGATGTGGCTGAACAGTTACCAAAGTGCTTGGGACAAGTGAGAACACAAAAATGGAGCAGATTTGATGATTAAGCGGAGCCCGGCAGCGTATCACTAAGCGCCTCTTGGTAACTCACCACTGAAACCCGAAGACCGTGTTCAGAGTGTTATTGCGCGAAAAAAAGATGATGGCGATCAGTAGGACGTTGGTAATTAGGGCATATCAGCTTGTGCTATGTGCACAGAAACCCTTGAGGCAATCAATTAGGTTGCCGTGGTCTTGATTATGACACCTTATTTGTGGCTCATTGTTCCGTGTGCATAACCGTGTACGTGATTCTGCTTGTATTTTATATGAACTGATGAGAACTATCGAAATGTTGAGATATCACAACTTAAGTCTTCTCTGCTTTAATTGAATGATTATATTCCGCGGAAGAATCCAAATGATCGCCACCAAGCCAGACGGTCAACGAAATGGGGAGGATGTCAAGGCGCATGGATGATTCGGAACATAACAGGTGCTATGCACATCAGGGTCGTGGTAGTTCAGCGGGAGAAGGCAACAGAAATAATTAGACGGGGAAAAACCACAAGCGCAACTTTTATAACTCAATTTGTTATAACACGGTCATCGAAGTATTATCGATAGACCGAAAATTTGTCCTAGAAGGACACGAGCCAGTAATGTGAAGTAACAAGTGAAGTTCGAGATACCATGCTGATAAATGATTTATTTATGATCTAGTGCGTTCCTAATGACAGTAGCTGGCACAAACATCAATTGAGAAATGCATGCTGATCAAAGCCTTTAAACAAATTGGAAGTTACGAGTAAAATTGCGAACATCATAATAACCAGACCAGAGAAAGAGAACTCGTATCGTCATTTTTAACGCGGCACGCTACATTCATTGCATCAGCATGGAGTCAAAGAACGGGTGCCGGAAATGCGAATGGAAATCCACGGGGGGATTAGTCAGTGATAACGGAAGCAATGGAAAGACTCACGAGTTTACAGTGTGGATGACATACGAATCCCATCGTAGCACGCTGTGCAAGCGCTTTTTAGAACTGGTTAGCTGAAACCGCTGAATGAAATATAAGGGAAAAATAAAGAAAAATGTTGGGATTGGTGCATTCGAGGCTGTAAGCATAAGTTTGATGGCGGTTTGGCCAACAGCATCCTGACTAGTTGTGCTTGTCTAGGTTGTTTAGTGTCCCCATTTAAGCTCAATGCTAACGTGGTTCCTATTATGGATGCCTCATAACACTGTCACTGTTTAGCAGGTAAACGATAGTCAAGCTATTTAGAATTGTCAAATCGTCTGGTAGACGTATGGCGTACGGAGTGCTGCGATTTAGACACCAGTATGTCAGCAGCTCTTCAGAACACCAATGAAGCAATTAAATGTGGTAACTAGATTGACAGGCATATGGGGTTATAGTGAAAAAACAGACATAAATGCAAAGTACAACGCCGTGAAAACCGTCGGGGGATATATGCTTTTATCCTATACTGCATAAAGTAGCGAACATTATTAGCGAAAAATGCAGTTTCAGCACATATATTGACCATGGGATAACCACAAGGGCTGCAGAAATTGTGTAAAATAATCGCGAAACAGGATGGAACCCGCGATCTCTGATTACAAGGCAAGGTTTGCGATGGGATTATGCAAGCAGAAGAACGGTGCGGGTTTACAAGACAAAGCAAACAGCTGGCTTGCCGCAAGCGAATGAAACAGATGATTTGACGCTTACGCATCTCCACCTATACGCTCATTGGTACGTATTTGGCAGCGCTGGAGTGAGTCAGTTTGACTGACTCAAAGGAAGAATCTCATGCATGCGGAGACGTCGTTAGTTATGGAACTGACCTAGCTATTTATATCGAGGATTCTGCGACCTAATCATGCTGTCATTTTCGCTGAACTTACTTGCCGAATAAACCGTTTGTCCCTGAAGGACCGCGTTCTGCGACAGGGTTGTGATCCATAAGTTCACGGACGATAAGGTAGATCAAGTCGACAGAATTCCTAGGTTCACTGCTTGCAACCATGCATGCGTCGTCACGAGCAGGTTGCTGATACATGAACAGCTAGGAAAAACGTGCTGTGCGGGTGTCAGGAGATCTTTTGACCAGAACAGCTATGGCAAGGTTTTCTTTACAATCTTCTCGGTAACCATGGCCGAAATAGGTGTCCAGCATATTGACCTGTAATTTGTCAACTGCTGGAGTCCGACCTTTCGCGATGAGCCCTACCATGGAGCATTTCTAACCAATCGGCAACGAACCTTTGAACAGCGACTTTCTGAACAGATCAGTCACGGTAGGCGTGATGATGGCCCATAAGGACAGGAGAATAAGTGCGTGGATCCCGCAAGACCCAGTAGACTTGGTACGTCAAGATTAGGGAGTAGCTGGTACATCTCTTCCACGCCACAGCCTGCCGAGTTCGGTAAGAGCGGCCAACGCCAAACTCCATAGTGGCATCTTGTCATTTTTAAACAAGGAAGCAAAAGGCGTCAGGTGCTGTTCTCCACGTCATCTTTCACTAGTATCTCACCTGCCGGTTTCAGATGACGCTTCAAGATTTTCTTCGGACAAAATTTTCTACGGTTGTAAGCTGTTCTTTGAAATGCACGCATTCTCATTTTCACACCGTTGCAAATGTTTTGCAGCCTTGTATACATCTCGTAGTCATCCACCGAGCCAAAGATAAGGAACTTGACACACAATCTGCGTCTGCGCCGGGACAATTTACATATTCCTTGTTGAAACAAATGTGATTTGATCAGTCCGATTTTCCGACATTTGAGACGTCCAAAACCGATTACATGATGTAGTTAATTTGTTCTTAACAAGTGACCAGTAGGCATTAACAGATGCAGATTTCGGCTGAAATCGATCCAGGTGGCTAATGGCTCGAGTAAGGCAGTGGAGATCTGTGTGCGAGGTTGCTGCTGTGGCAATTTCATGTTGACAATAAGAACTGTTTGGTCGCTTGCTACCAGAGGCTCCAGGATCCGAATCTCATACACATGTTGTTCACAGTTTGTTAAAATCAATTCTAAGCACGATGGAGTTGGGAGCGGTGCAATGCGCGTCGGTTGGCAGATATGTCGTGCTGTCCCAGCGAACTTCGTTTCGACCTCAGGCCAGACCTTCAGGCCAGCGTACTTTAGGACAATTGAAAACACTTGAGTAGAAAATGGGGGCGACACATGTGGTCCCGAAAATGCGGAAACGAAGCCAAAGAACGCCTCACGGAACTGCAATCGCCCTCCGCGCCTGAGGTGGATCGAGCACCCGACTGCTCACATAGGCCATGTTCGCTTCGGTGGGCGCTCACAAATCTCCCATACACAGAAGACCGGATTTATGGCAAGACGAAACCGCGGTCACTCGATAGAATATCACAGCGGAAGCACAAGTAGCCACTAAGCTCAACTTCCTCATCGCTCAATCACGGCTTTACGAGTCTCGTAGCATCTTGACACTCGAAAGTAACGCAGCGGCACAGCTCATTAAGCTTGTTCAAACGACTCCAGACGTTGGCTGCAGGAGGAGCTACCGAGCGCGCCTGAAGAGTGAGCGACCAATTTATTTAAAGATGTGGCGTGTTGAAAGCGCACAAAAGTTACAATACGTAAGTCTGTTTCTCCTTCTCCAGTTCGCCTTTTTATCTCGATGATGGCACACTTGAGGCTTTCTTGGTCAGATGGATCTACATTCGGACGAATATACACCCTCTCGTCTCGCAGCCGAGACAATACAAGATTTGAACTGACTCTGTCGGTAAAAGATACACGTATAGGTAGGCACTGCTCGGTAGCGTTTTTGTTGAGGAGGATGAACTACCATACTTTCACTCCATCGTCACTCACATCAAGGGGTCTCTAAAGTCCAAAGAGAACTTTGATTATACAGCCAAACTGGGTTGCCTATTCGAGGACAAGATATCCCTATTCCCAAACCCTTCACTTATTTGCTTTCATAGATCCACACATAAATGCTTCCAAGACCTGCATTATGAAGCGCTATAAGTTTTCACTTCGCACCATTGGCATGTCCTTGACTCGCCAAGGTCAAACATCGCACCTTTGACAGATTGCCGAGAAGCAAACTGCTACGCTGTACCGTTTCCGCACACCGCCGCCCGTCTTCTCGTGTATGCGCTTTTGTATTATGATTGCAAATCTATTCATAAGTTGAGTACTGTCTTTAATTTGAAGTACAGAACCACAGCAACAGGAAATGGCGTTTTATTTCCTCTGAATGGACCTGCGTATAGTATCGGTCCACTAGTGTACAGTTTTCCCATCCCGCCTCGTGCGAGTACTCAGTCTATGCTTCGTACAATGAGTGCAGAGCATATCGACCATATCCACCTGATGTCCATAAAGTTCAGCGCGTCGATGTGACGCGTGTAAATATGTAGCAAATGCAGACGTGTGTGCTTCAGTCGATCCTGTTTGGCAAGTCAACCACGTAGGCACGAGGAACCAATATCGAAGAGGTGACAGGTCGAAACTGCAGCCTATGTGTTTTTGGAGCATGTGGAGTATTATATGATTTGGAAGCTACTGCGATGAACTGTCTAATAATCATAATAAAATCCGATACTCATGAGTACAAGATAATTGCCCTCATAGTTTTTAAATGAAATGCCGCACATAGCCACTGTCAGCATGAGTCGTGTTTTACAGGGCCAACTTTGTCCGTTGGAACGATCGTAACTTGCATGGTAATGGAGGATAAGACGCGCCTGTAAAACATAATGGTCTGCCGCTGTCCGCCGCGGCTTAAGCTGCTGGCTGGCAGTGCAAGGCACTAGTGGCCATGCGTTCGGATCTATCAGGATCCGAAGCGCACGCACTACAGACATGTGGAGGATTTCCTATTGAAAGATGTGGCGATGAACTCTTAAGTAAGTGGGTAAGCGCCTTCCTGCATCCAGATCCATTTACTAACGCAGTCCAATAATAAGGCGGATGTGCGTGTGTGCTGCATCGTCGCTGAAGTTGATCCGTACGTGGGCCTAAGAGTTTGCGTTCTTGCATGTTTGACGACGTTTGACGACTGGCATCCCAAATATGGCTGAGCTTGGTGTAAATGTTGACAAGGTATCTACGTGTCGAAAAATCGCCACCTAAATTATACTGGCTCTAGGAGTCAGTTGGTCACTATTGGGGGAGACAGGGTGCATCGTTTACGTGACGTTGCTAGGCTCAAAGAGTGGTTTCATCCAACGAGGAAAGGGCTAAGGTCCAGCCCCCGCCTTGCGTACGTCTGGTACGCACAGTTCCCAAAGTACGCAGGAATGAAGTGTATAAGTACAGAGTGTGGACCAACTTCGAATCAATCGTGACTTCCAACTATATGCCTCCCAGTCGTATTCCTCCGGGTTTATACCGGATATAGGGTGTACGTATGGAGCTGTGGGTGGTGCTTTGGAATGCGTCCATGGTCCCTTGTAGACGTCAATTAACTAGAATACCAGTAGGAGGATTGGCCACAGAGTGCACTAGGACTACAGTTGATCAAGTGAGTCCATAGTAAAACAAGTTGAAGCATTTTACTCCACGCATAGCTCAAGCTGAATTATTACGGCTTTGTCGAGTTCTAAGCAATGTAGCTGGAGAAAGTAGTAGCGAACTGTCAAAAGAATTCGTGAGAACATGTGCGCACAACCATGCGCATTAAGCAGAAGTGCAGTTAGTCATCAGATAGCCAATGATACCGAGCGTGGCTGAGGGCCATTCATTTAAAGGGGGATTAAAACCATGCAGGTGCAGCAAATCCTGTTCATGTAATGTGTTACCGTATGTCACAGTCACAGCGATTCCAATTAAACGTGGATTGATTAGCAATCCTTCCTAAAAGTATTTCAAAAGATGTCGTCTAGCTGAGATGAAGATCATAATCGCATGGATGGACATACAAACTTCGTCTTGCCACAAATGAAACTATTAAAGACTGAGACCAGTTCAAGAAGAGTAACGCTCAAAAAACCAACTTCCTATACGTTGCACCTGAGGCGCGGATCGTGTCTAAATGATGCAGGTGCGAAGGCCGAACCGCATC